ATTTACCGTGCATCGAGCATGAATTTTTCTTAAACGGAAATGATCCCCTATTAGATACTTTGAATATTTGAATATTAAATTTAATACCGCGACAAATTACTATCAATACGATTAAACATTCAATTACATGTGTGATTTTTAGAAAGATTTTCTTCGAACATATATATTACTATGTAAAAATTTTGTTTTATTTTAACAAAAATATGGGGCTAGTAAAAACGCGTATTAACGGCTAATATGAATAACTGCTAGCTCTTTTACGAATTCACTTATTAATAATATGTTGAGTTCGAACATTTTCTATATCAAGAAGTAAAACGCAATGATGAAATATCTGAGAAAAATTTGAGAAAATTAAAGTCAGATTTTCGCGAATCGGGAAAATCACACGTGGGGCTGCGAAGTGTGAATAGGTCTTCCTACGGGAAAATCGGGAAGTCGTTTTGACATTCAAAAGCGGTTTCCCGCGGTCGCTCCGGTCCGGTGAGCGATTTGAATAACAAAGTCTGCGCGAAGACGTACTATCGTCCTTACTCGCGTCACCGAGCAGTCTTCGGGGCCAGTTTATCGCGAAAATCGTTTGAATACCAAGTGAAATCGATCTCCGGTCTGCCCTTCGAAATCTCCATCGTCATCGACCTCCGTCGTTCGCTTTGCTTGAAGGTACGCGTACGAAAATGATTCTTTAAAAGCGTTTAGGCTAGTGATGCGTTATCGGTCATTTTTGATTATTTGGCATTTCAGTTTTGCCATGTTTGTTACTATTTAAACTGTTTAAACTGAAAATTGAGTCTGGTTAGACCTACTTGATAATAAATAACTAAACCCGTTTTGGTTAAAGGAAACAGAATTTCTAGTTATAAAAATCAAATTTGACTCATGAGAACCGGAAGTTTTGTTTCTTTCAAGCAAAATATGTTTGGTTGTCCATTGCCAAGTAGACCCAACCAAACTCATTTTTCAGTGTAAGAAACTACATTATTAAACGTTTATATGAGCGATAGAGTCACATGAAATAAGCACCAGGACGGTTGGGCTCTTTGATTTCAGAGATTACGTACGTTAACGACGCCTTTGACCGGCGGTTAACGGCAGCTGACATCGTGTTTCGTTATGAAAATAAAAAAAACTCGCGGCGATGCGCGCGCACACACATTAGAAAGTATGATGAGTAACGTGACCGTTCGCGAAAGATCTTTGCGAGAGAAGTGCGCGTTAAAAGAATCCCAAGTCTGACCATATCGGTCGAACAGGTGTGCCTGTACGACGCGGGAATAAACGATTAGAAGTCCGATTAGCATCCGCGGATCATATTAATTGCGATTGCATTACCAATGCCGCGTCCGCTCGGACACGATTTTGTAATCGGCAACGTATCGGCTGCGAGCATTACGTCTCGACCCGTACGACGGCATAATAAGAGAGCTAATTGCGCCTGGTGTAAGTGTCTGCACGATCTAACGTCGATTGTGGGGATCGTGAATGGAGAAAAATTATTTCCTTGACTGACTAACGGTTGGTGTATCTTTCATCTGCCGCCGGGCAATTTGCATTGTATCACATCTCAATAGCATCTGATAAACCCTGCAGGATATTGTTATATTCCCACTCTCAAATATATAAATATATATTTATATGTAAGATATATGTATGTATATATATGTTATGTTCGAGAGGAATTATCTCCTTTCCGGTTGTATCACGATTACCGGGCTACTTTATTTATTTATTAGCTTTTTCGTCGAGATCATCGCGCATGGATACCGAAACGTGACGATCTCAGCAGCTGCAGTTGGTTTCCTCGTGAGAGTCACTGACGACTGCGCGAAATGACATGAATATCGTGTCGCGGAGCGCACGACGTTTCGTCGGTGGTTTCGCCCTGTTCCTGACGCGGCGATTCGCAGGGAGACGCAGGTAGACGCGAGCGGGAGGAACCCGCGGGGCGAGCGGTCGCGTAAGGTCCGGCGCGGAGAAAGAGGAGAAAAATGGAGCGGGTGGCGGCGGCGGTGGTGGTGGTGGCGCTAGGCGATCGGAAGTGTGTCAAATTACAGAGGTCCGCGATATTAATGACTCCTAATGACATGCCCCCCTCCCGGCGGCCACGGTCGGTGCCTACCGGCCGACACGGAGAGAACACAGCTTCTCCCACCACGTCGCCCGGCCATCCGGACCTGCTCTTGTGAGCCACCAAGGTTGGGCCCCTGTGCCGTCCGCCGTGTCGAGCAACCGAGCCAGTGGACCCGATTCACGGAATCGGCATTAAAAATGCAATTACTAATTGACGGAGCCTAATAGCAATAAGACAAACAACGGGCTAAATGCTATAAAGTAAAACACAGGTCGGCGACGGTGTATCCTCCACCCCCTCCGTCGGGTCTCCCTATCGGGGACCCCTCGTCCGCGCTCCTCGACCCTCGCTTCTGTTTACCGATTGTTTCTTTATCCCTCCGTCATTCGACTTGCTCGCTCTTTTCATCGTAGGCAGATACTTCTATGGAGAAGAGTGGGGGGAGAGGAGCACCGTGTTCGCGGAGGAAACAGGCCAGAATCTCCCGTTTACGACCGGTTCGGCATTTCCGAGAGCCTGGTCCAGCCGCGGATTTTTTGTCAGCTAGAGCCTCTACCTTTGTTAGTTTCTGTCCGTTCGTTTGCTGCTTCCTTTTGATTCGCGGATCTACTTGCACGGGTCGCAGTTGAGATCTGCCGTCCCGTCGACAGTTTTAAACTTCCCAATAAAAAAAAGTAAATATAGACTATAACGAGAGCCAAGAAGCTTTGCTTAATTCTTCCCATCATATAACGTATGCAATACAACGTAATGTTAATGTTAAAAAGAGGTTCACGATATATCTGACGATGTTGTGTTTAAATATGATATAATTGTGCAAATATAAAAATAATATCGATAATAACAACAATCAATCGTATAACAACGTTGTGTCGCTCTACGCGTTGACAAGAGTAAATGTATTAATAGTATTACAGTATGAACATCGAACGAGTTTCTTTGAGTTTTGCAGATGCAGCTAGTCGGCGGCATCCGTTACGTTCTGTCATCTTCCTCATTATCGCGCTTTCTGCGAACGACGACACACGCTATGTCAGATCTCGTGACGCGTGACACCCCCGGGTTTGCCCCGTCGTTCTTGAAACGCACGTTCATGGAACTAACGATTCTCCTTATTAGCTTTATTATACCAAAGTTTGTTTTATCAAACACGCAAAAGAGAGAGAGAGAGAGAGAGAGAGAAAGAATCTAAACGACCAGCGATATATTAGACCATAACTCTATTCGCCATAATAATTAAGTTCAAAATAATTGGATGCACGTAGAATACGTGCACTTCGCAGTAAAATGTACGATTAAAGATTAACGGATTTATTCACAAAAATTTTGAAACAAACTACCCGTAAATTTTTAGTCGGTACCGGCTTTTGCATTTAATATTTTGTACATAGACGATATTTCAGCAAAAAAACAATTACAGGAACATATTCAAAGTGTAGATTTTTTTAGTAAAATGAGCAACGAATTAATTTGGCGATTTTATATTGCCGAGAGATAATGTAATACCTCACTTTGCGATATAATGCATTTCGGGAAAATTAACCGGAAAGTTGGAGAATTATTATGTGTAAATTTATGGCACCATGAAAATCCACAGGCAAATTATAGGATATATAATATGCCGGATTAGTTCCCTCGAACATGCATTTGCTAATGGTCACGCAGCTCCGACCGAAACTTTCCCACGACGCGTTGCAACGCTAAAAATCATCGAGACTGCTCTTATTGTAATATTTAGTGGGTGTCGCGTGAGCGAAGTTGCCATATGCAATTTTGGAGTTTCGTATATTCGTCTGGACCGTTCCGCTCCGTAAAAACCGTAAAAGGGTCTGAGAAGGGATCGAATTTTTCAGAAAACCGCCGAAGAGACGGTCGTGGACGAGGGATTTCTTGGACCGTCGGTATTTCTTGGTGATCCTTTTACGATCCTGACGAAAAATCCACCTCGCGGCGAATGCACACCGCTGGCAGATAATGCCTTGAAGTTAAAAGGCCGGTTATGTGCCACGAAAGAATTCCTTCAGGCAAATGACAAACCGCCACGGAGCCGGATAGGCGGTGCTTACCAAACGTAATTGGTTTTATGACATATTTTACGTGGAAAAAATTAGCTGAGGGCTCCGGGCCACGGGGGACTCTTCGCAGATGCAGAAACCCGAGATGCACCAATGATATGCGTTTCCATGACGAGAGCGGATCCGTTCTTGTACAACGTTAAACAATAACATCCTCTCTTCCATGCTCTCTTGTAATATGTTATCGTAGACATCAGCGCGCGATATTACGCAATTATTATAATAATTATTATAATCTTCTTAAGAGATCTTTAGTCTTACTTTGATTGTATTTGTATTAATGTAAATATTACTTGCACTCAATTCAAGACTAAAAATTGTATAAAAATATTATATTTTTACTTATAAGGAATACCGGGGCAAGTTGGCTAAATGGGTAAGTTGGCTAATCGATTATTTCTGCTATTTTCTAACAAATTACAGAATCGAACAAGCAGATATTTCAAACATGTCAAATATGGTTATGAAATTCCTTACTTCTTTAGCTAATTTGCACCTGCCTTCCCTATAATATGAGAATATCTATTATTGATTTAAGACTATTTCTTTCTGTATATAGAGAACAAATTAAACCGTAATTTCATAAGAACAAAATCTAATAAACACCAACAATTTCATTGACATCTCCTGCTACGATAAATAGAGTAAAGGAACGTTCAACGAGCCACCGTGCCGATCCATCATCGCGACGCAATACGACGCGTTGCCCGTTCCGTTCGGATCGTTCGTGTCGTATTATTTCTGCGCAAAATTTATGTCCCCCCGTAAACGAAGGTTAAACGTTCCGTACGTTAATTGTATCAAGAGCGGACGGCGGACACGCGAAAGCGATGAAACTCACTGTGCAAACTCACCTTGTATGGATTCCGGCGAGGCTGGCTCCTTATCGATTCGGCCGAGTGCGTCGCTCGCTGTAACAAAAAGCGCAACGAAGCCCTCGTTAGTGACGCTGTGTTATAAGTCGAAACGGGAAAATCATTCGTTTCCCGTAAGAGCGGTGTGTGTACCAAATACTTCTTGTCCTGATCGAATCAACAAGCATTGTAGTTTTATCTTAATTACATATTAAGGCTACTTATATGCTTTCTCTTAAAAAATGTATACATTAATGAACCAAAAATGCCATGATGATTGCTCTTATATTTAACCAAATATCATATTGGTTAGTCCAAACAATAGAATAAGTTGAAAGACGAAATATATAAAATAATCTTTTTTTTCTAATCGAATAACATGATCTAATCATCGAAACAAAACGTAAAACATATCTAAATAATATATTATTTGGTTAAAAATTAAATTTAGTTTCCTTTAAATAATAATATTTTTTTTATCGCAAATAACATGGTTTATTCAACACACCCACTCTCATTTTAATATGTGACTCTAAATTGATAATCGATTAAATTACACAAAGATGAAATTTATTCTTGTTAGAAGAACCGTCTCTCGACGTTCCTCGGCCTCTGACGGTTACAAAAGTCACGCGGTTCTTACTTGGCGGAGGCCCACATCTGCCCTGATTAAAACAGGGGAGAAGCAACCGGGCCGTCGAGATAGCATCGGAGCACGAGGACGCGGCGTGTTCATCAATCAGGCTGCGGGTCGAATTATCCTAAAGCGCGCAGGCGATCATCGTGACGCATAATGGCGGCTCCAGCGATTGCAATTTCCCGAAAATAGGGTGACGCACGGTGAACGCGAGAGACCGATATTCAAATAATCTATTTGACGGACCCTCTCTCGCGATGGGGATCCTGGTGGTAGGGAAGATGGTGGTAATTCGGCGCGAGGATGACCACCATACGTCACACGACTGGAGGAGGACGAGGGCGTCCGGCAGAGCCCAGGGGCGGCCACCTACTACCCCCTGGGGGGTCGCAACTCACCCCTGAAACGACTGTATTCAGATAATCCCACCTTTCCTTTCCTTTCCTACGTCGTATTTGCCCGGGACGACATTTCAATACATACTCTTGCCGGATAACCCGCCACAAATATAGGCGGATATACGTGTCCACTACGTGGAAAATAGCAGCGCGAGTAACGACCACGTAGCGTGTGGATGGCTCCCAAGTAAAAAGGACGATAAGGATTTCGGAGTCCCGCGCTTCTTTCGCGCTTTCGTATCACCGTACGTGTCGGCAGATTAGTCATTCTTTCGTACGGATCCTCTTTTCCGGTGGATCGGTATAACGCATAGCTTCTTCTTCTTTTTTCAAAGTAAAGTAAGAGTTTATGCGATGCGTAAGATCGGATGATAAGACAAGATTGTATAACGTGCGTTTCAGTAATCTGTCTGCATGCTTCGCTAACGTGATTTACATATAATTTAAGATATCCAGGTCGACGTAAAGCTGAACACAATGCGAGATCCTTGACGGGGCCGTTTTCATTATCGAATGAAGGACTGCTTCTGGAAACTAGTACGCGCTTACATTAAATATGAAGAGCGACCTCGCGCGAATATCTAGCCGGAGCCCGTGTTTTCCCTCGTGAGCAAGTGTAATAATGCTCCGGGCAATCTTCTTTACAGTTTTGTAAGAAGAGAATCACGAAGGCGCAATAAATAATTCATCGGCACGGAGAAAAATAAACGATCGATTGTTCATTCGAGATCGGTGAACATCGAAGACTCATTTCATTCTTTTCAACGTGTTGTTACGCGTTCGTAGTAATTACACATCTATATATGCATTAATTTCTAATGTGCAAAATTCGTCGACGTTGTTAAAATAGGGAAAGATGTTGATTTTCGGATGTTTAGAGTTCTTCAAACAAATACCAAAATGTAAAAATAAAGTCTCTCTGGTCGCCCTTATACCGACACGAAAGTCTCGTTAAATTCTCGTTTAATGGTGGACGTCAACGGCTACAACGATTTATCAAAATGAAATACTGACTGTCGAAACAGCACCTACCGCCTTTAAATAGGAATGAACGCGGATAAATACGATGCACCTTCGTCGTTCGGCGACTCTCCCGAGGGCCGTAAAGAAGTTACGGTTTGCACATGCATTCCTTGCTTCGTTGCACGCCCCCTACTTGCCCTACCTGCTTTTTCTTTTTCCTCCTTCCTATTTCCCTTAGCATCGCAGGATGAAAATAGCATAATATTTATGTATTAATGAGATGCGTAATAATTTTTCACAATGATATATACTTACAACAGATTAATTACGTATAATGTAATTAATTAACTGCAAGAAGTTGAATACATAATGCATAAAGATACAGAAAGAAAAAAAGAACAATAACGCTTCTTTGGTGCTTCTCCTCTATATTTCAACGTTAATATATTATTGCCTTTCGACCGCATAATCGAATCTCTCTTTCACTCATTTTGGCACAGAAGTGTTGCTGGTTTGCATCTACGCATATAAATTTTAATTTTACATCTTCAAAGGGACTTTACAGCCCAAAAACAAAATGGTATGTCGGATTTCGTGCTTTTTCTCTCAACACTAACGTTAATTATTGCATTTCGGCCGTGTAATTTAATCTCGCTAATTTTCCATCCTGCTCGCATACACCCTCGCGCGAGATTCCCCCTCCCTCTCTCTTTCTGCGGGGAATACAAATACAAGAAATGCTCTCCTCTTTCCTTCAGTCTCGCCGATTCCTCGCGGCGATCGATGCCGTTCCACGCGACCCACCGCGACGCCGGCTGAGATTTCCGCGGCCGGGCATTAATTTTGGAGTACGTCACGGCGTTGTCGGCGCTCGCTTTTTCACTTATTAATTCGACACGTCCGCCGGCCTGGAATCGCGTGTCTGCGGCTACCGCCCAGGATATTCTCTGCACCTCGGTATTCATAAAGGGCAGGCGCGCTGCTTTTCGTGCGCGCACACCCATCCTGGGCCCATTCAACGCGACGTACACGTAACACCTGTGCCGATAACTTGAATACCGCGGACAGGTGCCCGGCCCGTCGGCCACTCGATGCGCGGCCGCGAAGACGGAAGAGTCCACTATTATCTCGCGATTACGATCTCGTTTCGCCAAGGGCCGATTATCGATCGGTCGGATCGACGTTTTTCTTTTCGTTCGGCGTGACCAGTTAGACCCTGAGCGCACATTAGCGAACGATAAGCGATAACCTGCAAATCATAGGAATAAAGCCTCCCATATTAAGGGAAGAAGAAAGATATATGCGTATGCTAAATAAAAAATCTGATAAGTTATATTAATTTCATTGGGGATTATTTCGTGACACACAGATCATGTGACTCCAAAATTTTCCGAGTTGAATGAAAATGAGAAATTTTAACGTTTTTATAAGAATTTTTCTCACAATGCGGAGATTCTCACAAATCTGATTACTTTTACCATAAAATGAGGAACTTTAAATTCGCAATTACGACTTACACTTTCTATTTATAAGATAACATAAAGTCACGCAATTTCACGTGCGATTAATGTGTTATTGTGCCAGTGAGATAACGAGATATAATCCAGAGTGAGATAGCCCCGCGGGGTATCGTCCGAGTGGTTCGATTAATTCATAAAACTCGATCAATCCAGGCGCGTTGCCGTGTACACGCCGTGGACGGAAACGAGATTTTAATATTTAAGTCCGCGGCACGATACAATAAGTATAATAAGCATAGAAGCGGCCGTCGGTCGGCGGTTGTAAGAGACGGTTGCAATATTAATGCTGACATTTCGGTGCTTTGCGGTAGTTTAACCGCACTACGGCCCCTCGCTTTAATGGATGCGGCTTTCCGACAGGGACGATCTCCTCACGTATGACGAGATACGTATTGTGACCAATCGATTTACAAAATAAGAGAAAACGGAATAACAGAAAAGTATTGTGTTCTCGGGAATTTATAACCAATTCTTGAGAAAGAAAGAAGGAGAAAGAACAGCTCTGAAAGTTCACATCACTACACGGAAAGAAAATATTTCTGAAAAATAAAAGCTATTTATTCGGTGGATACTAATAACATATTTCTTCAAGTCTAAATTATTTTATTTAAATAGAAAAAGCGATTGCTTTCATGCAAAACTACAGGTTGAAAAAGTGTATATTTTCTCATTTGGAAGAAATTCTTTCTCAATGTAAAAATATGTATATTGGTACAAATAAATACACGGTAAAAAATGTTGTGTAAATAACGGTCCGCTGAAATTTTGTTTAACAAGATAAATATGTTATCAAGGTGAATACGTTCATTTAACATATATTTAACGTGTATTTTTAACTTATTCCCAGTAACATAAAAATTTCATTGAACCGTTATTATACAAAAATTTTACCATGTACGTTATTAATGCCTAATACTGAATAAATACTTTTTATTTTCTAAATATTTTTCTCTCGGTGTAACAATTCATAATTTGAATGCAATCGACGAAATTGTGCGAATACATACATTCCTGGAAATTTTTAATTAAACTATTCTTGTACGTGGTCGGCAATAAATTATTTATCAGCTCTCAAAGTTCAAAGTTCCCACGATACAACATCAGCGTGCATTTATTCATGCGCAGGCAGTGATGGTGTGCTCGCTTGCCTTGAGGTAAGCAAAGTTTCTTCGAAATGACATGTGACGTGAGTATGTAAGCGCATGATATCTGTACCACATAACGCGGGAATAATTCATAGCGGCTTATTAATTCCGCATAAAGCCACGGTCGCGACGCGTACAATCGAGCGCATAATCTCATCCGGTGAAGACGCACCGATCGACGTTTCCTACGTTCAATCCCGATTATTCGGCGTCGACTCGCAGCCGTCACACTGTGACACGCACGAAGCGGGAAGATATCGCGAGGAATGATCAACAATAAGCGAATAGAATGCCACATTGTTCGCGCGCGACTCAATTCTTCGCGGCGCGACGATGCTTGATTTTTCCATTTTTTCCCCGGCCGATCAGCTTGGTCCCACCTTCACTCCG